CACACACACACACACACACACACACACACACACACACACACACATATATATAAAACCTAATTAATTTTACTCACAAAATACTGTAAAACGGTACAAAACTATTTTGACGCAAAATATTTTAAGATTTATCATTTTGCACTGAAAAATAACTTGCATATAATTAGATTGTTATACCCATTCCTATTTTTCTGTATTCTTTAGCTAAATTTACTTTTGAAAGTTTTTAAAGATTAAAATAAATAAATTAGGACACTTTCACGGACCCTTTTAAAAAGGTTGGACCATGAAATCAATCACAAGTGTCCTCCAGTAAAAGGCAAGCAATGCTGTTTACTTTGCATTGCATTGTGCTAGCAAGAAAAAGAAAAAAGAAATTTTATTGAAACTTTCATTAAAAAAAGTCACTGGATGTTCATTTACAACTGATCAACTATTGGAGTCAGTTCAATTTGAGATGGTTGCAGGACTGCCTCCAGGCCCTTCTGAGTAGATATTGCCTGTTCACTCAGTGCACACATGAGTTTTCTGTGTATTCTGGTTTCTTCCCACTGAGAACATTCATGTCAGAGAAACTGGTAATTCTAAATTTTCCCTAGGTGTGAGCAAGGGTAGTTGTATGAGCAGAATAGTGGTTTCTCTCTGTCTCTTTGGAGTTTTGACCTGTCCAGGGTATAGCCCGCCTTTCGCACTTGGCTGTTGCAGAAAGGGACCAACTCCATGCAACTCAGAAAAGTGGGTAGAGAGGACTGATGGATGAATTGTGTGTGAGGTACGTGATATAATGGCTGAGGAAGCAAGAGAAGGGAATTTAAATTCTTCTTACTGTAATTTGCTCATGTTTGTTGAAATATACACCATACGTTTTTGTTGTCAGATTGAAAACTGCAGCTCAGTGCTTCTGTTATGCTTTGCTGCTGAAATCACATCACATTTAAACCCTAATCCTGCGGCTTAGACTTAGAAATGCTTAGACTTCATGACACATTAATCTACGATGAAGCACACCCTGACATCCACAGCAGCAGTGTTTCTGTATCCACCGTGTGATGTGATGTTAAAACTGAGCTGCAGTTCAGCTCCAAATAACTGCAATCTGCCATACTGTGCTATCGGGGCTTGTCTACCATAAGCTTAAAATAGACCAGATTTGAACCAAGTCCTTAGAGACTTTTGTGCAGTTTGAAATGTAAGAAATCTTTGCAGCAAGTAGATGTGTGTTCAAGGAAAGATGGTGAGCTCTGAGTAAATGCCAAACTCTGAGTAAATGCCAAACAAAGTCAAAGTATTAACAAGTTTATTGTTAATAATTTTGGCTTGAAGTTTGGGACCGGACTCCGGGGTCGTCAGTTCTGGACACAGAAGCTTTGGGTTAGGTTGAGTTGTGAACTTGATATTATTTGTAAAGATAAAGAGAGTCACCAACCTTTCCTACTGAGTTGAAGTCCGGGTTGAGACGACAGTTGATGTGTTTTGGTTCCGGGCTGTGTTGTCAAGGAGCGTTATCGCTGGGTTTACTCGAGGTAAGAAACGGGGCACCAGTCATATCCAGGTGGTCAGAGGAAGTTACCAGGTTTGAAGGAGATGACTAAGTCGTTGGTCCAGAGATGCGTTCAGGGGGTCGAGATCTAGGAGGTCCAATGTGGCGCGGTTCCGTTCAGGGAGCAGGCAAGTGACAATAATCTAAGAGACAGAAAAAAGTTGTTACCGTGAGAGCAGATGGCAGGCGGGATCCGACAGGGGCTGAGGCAGGAGACGTTAAACCAGGAGACATGAGCAAGGTCGGGGACATCAGACAAGAGCAGGACAAGGGACAAGAATGCTGGAAGATCATAGGCAAGGCTGATGATAATCTGGCAGTGAACTAGAGAGTGAGACTGGATTATATACTGCAGGGAACAGGTGAGTGAAATGAGCTTGATTAGGAGCTGGATGTGAGCTGCAAGGCTGGGAACAAGACTAAGAGAAGAAACTGGAACATGAAATAAGATAATAAAACTAAACTGGGACAAGATCTGGGCAGACAGTGACAGAATCATAACACTAATATTTGATTTAGCATTAAGTGATAACTGATTGATAGACTGTAGCTACTCTTCCACCTCAATGTGTTGTTCTAGGTACATCAACATTTAAATAATTAACATGAGTGGATTCATTCATACTACCAAAATCCTCCTGTCGTAAACAGGTTTCTGTAAGATAGAATTAAGCTGGAAACATACTCCCTCTGACGCGTCGACGCACAGTCACGTGGTTGTTCGGCAGCTGTTTTCGCACACACCTTTCATAGCTCCAGAGGCACACCACACCGAGCTCCTGGGAAACCCCACCTGCTGAAACATACGTCACTGCATGGAGTTTCTTCACGCAACAGCTGAAAATGCAGAAAAATATAAGTCAGACTTGTCACTCACCCGACGTATTTATCCACATCTGTCCCGGTCAAAGCTCCACAGTTTTTATCAGTCAGATTCCTCCGTGCACAACGTGTTTAATCTCCATTCATGAGTTTTTCACGGTTTGACTATCTTTATAAAACTCTGCTTCCTGGTAACAGTCGGCTCTGGGAGCGAGTCGGGGGTTTTTTTCCCCTTTTTTTTTTTTTACCGAGTGCTGGAAGTAAATGCTGCGTTTAATAGCGCTTTCAGCACAAACAAACACGCCATGAGTTTTTCTCGGTTTGATTATCTTTGTAAAACTCTGCTTCAACAGTCGGCTCTAGAAGCAAGATTTTTTTTCTTTTGTCCGAGCGCTTTCAGTTTTAGCACAAACAAACACACCCACGAACTTCAGACTAATCTCACATTACCGTCATTGTGGGAGGGGTCTAAAAAGTTCTGCTGGCGGGTTGTGCCAAAAGGGGCTGCTGAGCTGATGCTGCGAAGCCCGGTGACGTAATTTTTGTCATGAAACTGTGACAACCTGTGCCGACGTCAGCAGTTCGGAGGGAGTATATTTCCAGCTTATGTCAATATGATGATCAGCTATCGGAATCATAATCAGAATAGTTTAATGATTCCCAGGGGAAATTGCAATATCAATCAATTGAATCTCAGATCAATAACTAACAGAGACTTAGAGGAAAGAGATCTGATGTTTAATAATCCTGACCTAATAGTTTTTTTTTTTTTGTTCTGGTAAAGCAACTGTTTATTTTTATAGATTTTTATGATTTATTTTCCCAGAGTTGTTTTTGTTTGTTTGTTTGTTTATTTAATTTGGGCAATGGGTGGGCTGACACAATTTTAATGGACTGGACCCTGGGGCGTCAATAATTTTGGTGGTCAACAAAATCAGCCAAATTCTTAGAAAGGAGAGTGGCTCCAGTCAGAGTGGGATGGATGCCATCTCTCCGCATCAAATCAGGTTTTCCCCAAAATGAGTTATCTATATAGCTGACGTTTTCAGAACACAATCTGGACACCCAGCAGTTTAAAAAGGACATACGACTAAACAGAGAAAACAACAGAGTCCGAGTACATAGTCTTTGCAAATTTGCACACCAAAGCAACATTAATTTTTGTGACCTCTGATTGGAGTAAACTGGTGTCATTACCACTGACGTGAATCACAATCTTACGGTACTTGGCATTAGCATTAGCCAGGAGTTTCAGGTAGGATTCTATGTTGCCTGCTCTGGCACTTGGAATGTCTTTAACTATGGTTGCTGAACTACCTAGTTCCATGTTTCGGACTATGGAGCTGCTGATAACCAGGGTCTGTTTTTCAGCTGGTGTGTTGCTAAGCGAGGAGAATCAGTTAGAAACATCAGCCTCTGCCGCACCATCAGATCAACGTCTCTGGGCACCTTTGATCGGCTTAATTACATAGTGGGGGTGGTGGTCCTTGGACCAGGTGTTGTGGGGCAGTGGAGCTGATGTGTGGGGGTATCGGGGTTTTGGGCGTCTGGGGGGTTTCTTGGGGGCGGGGCTGCTGGGAGTTCCTGGGGGGGGCTCTTGTCCTGGGGGGACCTTGGTGGTTCTGGGAGATGTCTTCTGGTGGCTGCGTGCGGGTTCTCAGGGGGTCTGCAGAGGCGGTCATGGGTCGCTGACCCGGTGGCCTGGCTGTGCTGGGGTGGGTTCGGGGTGGGCGCGGGGAGCTTAGGGCTCTGGGGTCGTGCCGTCCCTGTGCTGCGTTCCTGGTGGGGCCAGAAGGCCTTGAGTCCTGGTGGGTGGGTTGCCGGGCTCTGGGCCAGTTTGTGCCCCGATGCCCGGCTCTGGGCCCTTTGTGTGCTGGTCGGCTGCAGATCTCATGGGCTGAGGGGTTCGGCTGGCTGGGGGCGGGGCCGGTTGCCCGTGGTAGGGGATTGGCCAACCCAGCCTGGGTGTCTAGCGTACTATATGTTCTGAAAGTTGCCTGAATGATGGGGTGAGTATAGTATTGCTTCTGGGGTGGGGCTGGGTGGGTAGCCTTGGTGGCGGCTGGTGGCTGTGCTGGGTCGGCTGGCTGGCCCCTATGTTGTGGCAGAGGCTCGCTCTTGGTCCCTCCTTGTGCTGTCGGCAGCTGGGTGTGCACTCTCAACTGAATCGTCCTTGCTGGGGTTCGGCGGCCTCTTTGGGCTGCGGGATGGGGGTCAGGTCTTGGGGGTCTGGATGGCTCTGGGGTGGGTAGACTGTCAGTCCCGGTTCCTGGTGGTCCTCTGGGCTCTGTTTGTTCGTGATCTGGGGCCTTCCGGGCCTGGCGGACTGTCTGGAAGAGGTCTTGGGGCCTCATTGCCTGGGTGGGTCTCGGGAAATGGGGGAGCCTACCGAGGTCAGTACGGGAGCTGACCCCTTGTTGGAGCATTTGCTCCCTCAGTTTTTTCTCCCCATCTTCCACCACACACCTCCACCCTCTTCATTTTCAGCTGCACTCATGTAGGGTTTTGGGGGTGCAGGTGTCTTACAAAGACCAACAATTTTACATCTCTGCTTGCTATAACCACCTGGGCTCCAATTTTACTGTACACCCTAGACAAGGGTGTGCCCAACCTTTTTTGAACCAAGATCTACTTTTGGAGTCGGCAGTTTGTCGAGATCTACTCGTCCAGTCTCAGTATCAAAAAAACATAATTTTTCATCTCCCTACTCCTAACTTCTTTAAAGTAAATAAAACAGAATGTAATGTGTTGCTAGTTTTATTAAATTTAAAGTATTGTCAAACAAAACTACTACTTAACCATATATTTACCTACAAAAAAAAGAAAAGATAAAATCATTACCTAACTCCTGACAGAGAAACAGAAAAGTGATGCTCAAACAAAAACAAAATGTGTAAGCTATGAGGGTTGGCGGGCCGGGCCTCTGTGTCCGTGTCTAGATCTGCTCTGGCGCGGTGGGTGACGGCGGGGCCTGTGAGCTCGTCGCTGCTGGCCCCAGGGTTTCACTGCATGTGGTCGCTGGAGGGGCTTTCTGTGTTCTCTCCTGTGGTCCCCTTTGGGGGGTGGGTGGGTGGCCCTCCCGGGTGCATCTGGGGGCTCCGGGCTTGGGGTCCCTCTTGGGTTCTTTGGTGCTGGTCTCCCTTATGTCGGCTTCGAGCTTTACGGGTCGGGTCTGTGGTCCTCCAGTCACTTTAAACATTCCATTGGAGAGATCTTGTTTATACATGCATGCTCACAACCGCATACAAACAGGTTTTTACATCCTGGGTTTTAAATTGGTACACTGATTGAATGGTATGTGTGTACGTATGGATATGTGTGTGTGTGTGTGTGTGTGTGTGTGTGTGTGTGTGTGTGTGTGTGT